TGCAAGGGATTACGGCTTACTTGAAACGCTTAAACCCAAATGTTGAAGAATATATTGTATTCATCGAACAAGATTACCATTTCACGAACGAACTCGAATCACAAGTTCTTCAAGCATCCACGTGCCAAAAATGGTTCATTTTTCACGAGCACCTGAATCACAAATTCTTCAAGTATCCTAGTCCCACGAACGATTGTCTTTCCAGAATCACAACGAGCATTTCGTGCTGATAACGTGTTGTAAAATGGCCTATTTATCTAGCTCTTTGGTTTGTGTTTGTGGAAATACATAAGAACATAATAACGATAATGGAGAGCGAATGAGAGAATGCAAAGAACAAGAATCCGTAGAGAGAAAATTGTGGGTATCCATGGGGAGGGAGTTTTTCTCATTAATATAGGTGTAAGCCACCGGAAGTTACAAGGAGGAGTTACAAATGGAAGTTCCATGGAAGTTATTTCCTGCACACATCATGGGACTAAGGTGTGGGAAGTTTACACTAGTGGGAGGTTGAAAACCATCAAGTGGTTATGTTAGGAAACCACACATTCCATACTATTTACAACAATTTACCTTTTTTTAATTAAAATAGCATAAATTAAAAGGGTAAGTACAAATGAGTCCCCAAAGCAGAACACGAAAAGCGTAACAGTCGTCGTCCATGTTTCACACGTACATGTATAAGTCCCTAAAGCAAACATAAACATGCAAATAGCTCCTTGACCTCACTCTTTCTCTCTTTATACACTCACTCTCTCCTGGCTCCTCTCTATTCTTTTCTCTCTCTCCTTTCTCTTCTCTTCTCTTTCTCCATTATTATTTCCTCTTCCCCGATGGTGAAAAAAACAGAAAAATATCACAATGACAGCTAATGGTGAACCAAACCCTATCCCCACTCAAGTTCCTGGAAGTTGTCGGTACAACGATCAACTACACATCATTTCCATGAAGGTTGATTTGACTTTAACGGAGATGTATGGGTCTGTTATAAGGAAGTCGTACAATATCCATCCGGATGCATTGGTCCTCCAATACTTGACTCCTCGTGAAAAAATATTTGTCAAACTGAGTTGTGACGAGGATGTCGTGAATATGGTTGCGTTGCATTTGATAATGCACATGAGTGTGGTCGACGTTGTCGTGAGCCGCATGGATGAACCAAATGGGCATGGACATTAAAGAGGGTCTGAGGCGACAACTGGTGTGTTTTCATTTCTGTTAACGTATACATTTTCAATTTGTTAATCATTATGTGATCATAGTATTAAATATGATATGTATTAATATAATGTTAATATAGTGATAGTATGGAATAACTACGCAGCCTACGCCTAGCATCATAAGCGGATAATGATGGTATACTAATATAATATTATATTTTTGTAGGACGACTTCTATAGGGTGATTCAAAATAAAGTCACATGGGAGATATATCTAGATGTCGTATAGGAAGAAGGATGAAAAAAAAAAAAAAAAAAATTCAACGCTGGAGACCGACGACAAGAAAAATAATCAGAAAAGAAAAGTTACTAAAAAGAGAAAGTCAAAATTAGATATTTTTGGCCAAAATTGATTAAATTAAAGTTAAATTGGTGTTACAATTAGAATTTGGGTTTACAAGATTGGTGGTAATTTTGTCATATACATTAATTTTGTCTTCATTTACAATAAATATTAAAGGGAAGGGCTTATTAGCGAAAGAGATATAGCTCATGAACCTAGAATAATAAAGATGATTGCTCAGAGACTTATGCATAAAAACTCATTTTTCCTTTTTCGAAACTTTGCTTATCTTTCAATCAAATTTCGTAACATTTATTGTGTTTAAGGATTTGTCTAGGGAAAAATACTCTGTGTTCTAAACTCATATGAGACATGCTCCAATTACCGTTAATTTTGTAAGATTAGATCTTGACCCTAGGAAAATAATGAATCAGTTACCAAAGTAGCCTTCGATTAATATTTTTTATTAAACCAATATAAAACAGATTAACATCAATTATCTAATTTGCCCATAACTATATTTTAATGAATAATTATTTGAATATGTTTTAAAGATTCGAGTCGGGTAAACTCATAAATTATGGGCAACAACAACATAAAAAACGCATATCCTCTATAAAAACATAAAAAGCCAGCATATATTCATAAAAGAAAAAATGAACATCAAGAATGCATACATGCTACTGCATATTGACAAAGAAATTAATTTGAAATACATTGTTCATAAAGTATATGAGCTTTGCACCCCATTGTAAACCAAATATAAAAATCATTTGAAATACATTGTTCATAAAGTATATGAGCTTTGCACCCCATTGTAAACCAAATATAAAAATCACCTACTACGGATCGGATACTTCATCGAGTACATAGAACATAACTTAAACTAAAATGAAATGAGAATCGAGTGAAATAAAGTCGCTTCATCGAAGGAAAACACGGTGCTTTGTATTGTTGCTAGAAAATGCTGAAGTTCCACAAAAAAAGTTTTCATCGATTCATGGCTTGCAGTGGCAACGGTAAAAAATGTAAGGATAAAAATGTAAATGCACCATGCATACTACTTAAAACTCTTATCGGTTGACTGTAAAAGCCAGGGGTCACATTGATAGTGTAGGAGGGTAAATGCGACAGTGCAGTGCTAAAAAAACGAGATAACTAATTAGAAGTAAATAACAATTTTATTTATTCGTACAATTTGCAAAGTGCAATACAATATATCACATTAACGAGATAACTCGTCGTGACCTATATATATTAGCATCTTTGAGATTTAATTTTTTTTAATAGGCTCTGCAATATGAGTCGACACATTGCCCAGAGCAGAACCCACATCTTTCCTTTGTCTCGCAACTAACACTCGCACAATATTCATACCATGGATCTTGATAATCATCTCCAACGACTGGACTCGGTGCATCCCTCGATTTAACTTTCTCTGCAGATAATATAATTAATTTCATCAGATTAAATTTTGTTATAACTTCATATGTATCAATTCATTGAGGTCGCGGTCTAGCTTGTACGTAATACGTTGAGTTAAAAATATGCCGGCATCATCTCGAATATAAATTTACGTGAAATCGTGTGTGTGCGCGCGTGCGTGTCCGTATTTATATATATATGCATGTTTTTATATATATACATGATTAGACATAATTTAGGATGAAATAAAACAATATATATTAGGGAATTGTGATTTGAGCTAACCGGTTGAAGCGAAGACGAGGACGACTAAGAAAACTATCTTAAGTTCCATTTCTTTATTAAATAATTCTTATGAATTGAATTGCATATATCAGAAGCTATGTTTATGAAGTGCTTTTATAATGTGAGAGTTTGTTCTCTCTTTATTGAAGTATTAATTAATTGATTTATTAATTATGTCAGTTTAATACATATGTTATGAGTTGTAGTAATTAACTTTTAGCATTTATTGTGTACGTGCATTATCTATGTCAACATGAAAGTTGAAAGTTGAAACACCCATTCCATCGAAAGGATCGGAGCTTCTCGTATTTTTGGTTTAACTTGTTGATTATCTGTACCACTACACTAGAAACGGCGACTTTAGATTTAAGGTCGCCCGATAGCAAGCACGACCTTACTTTTGAGATTGAAGGGGAAAAAAAAAGTTCGTCGCCTCTTCTTAGTACAATAGAAACGGCGACTTTAGATTTAAGGTCGCGAATAGTAATCACGACTTCAGTTTTGGGATCGAAAGAAAGAGAGTTTTGTCGCCTCTTCCTCTTCTTGATTATTTATGCCGAGTAAATTTGAACTGTAAATTTAATTAAATAACTACCTATGATGCACGGACAAGGAAATGCAGACAAGGCGATACGCGGACGCGGACACTGAGATACGTCATTTCAAAAAATTAAGATACGAATACGCAGGGATACGCGTAAATATTAAAAATATGCCGCTGGTGATAAATAAATGAAAGTCACTAAGAAGTCCCATTCACAATGTTTTTGAAAGAGGTATCCAAGTTAGGATACGTGTGTCCTATTTTTCCTAAATTTACAGATACAATCCGACACGAATGTCCTATTTAAATTTTTCCTAAATTTACAGATACAATCCGACGCGAGTGTCCTATTTAGATGAATTCAAAGACACGGCCCAACACAGGTGTCCGAGAGTATCCGCGACTATCCGAGTGTCTGATACGCGAACACCTCATGTCCTAAGAGTGTCCGTGTTTCATAGATAACTACCCACTAAACACATGTATACACAAGTCACATACACATGGTTGTATATTATTATACGTAAATCTACGAATCAAACATCTAATTTTCCCTTCTTCACCATGTTATTTGGGTGTGTGTATTTCGAAATGGGAAGAAACAAAGTTTGGACAAAAGTTTGACAAGAAAAATGTAGTCGATGCAAGAACTAGGTTCTTTCTCCTTAAGACAAATTTGCCCCGTGCAGTGCTCTCGGTTACGGCAATTGTCTCCCAAGATACAACGACTATTTCAATTCCAACAAAGCAGTACAACAATTATTGGAACACGGCGAACGAAACGACGTTTAGGACTTTATAAGACACGAAGAAAATGACTTGGTAATGCAACAATATGCAATGATATGTTATGACGAGAAGTGAATTCAATTATGTATTGAATTCCATGTGAATAATGAACTTCTATACATCAAATGGTGGATTTTGGAATCTATTTATAGATTTTCAAAGGTTATGACCACAAGTCACAACTCTTAGGAAAATAATTTCATGAAAAGGTATCACACCTTTTCTCATTAACTACACACCTATTCAATTTAATAGGTGCTTAAACACCTCCATCTTTTTCAATGGTGACATTTCACTTTATTATTTTCCACACTTAAATATTTTAAATGATCCATTAATTTATCATTCATCAAAAAATTAATTTTGAAAATTTAAATTAAACCACTTAAATATTCAACAAAATTTGAGTCAAATACTCAAATATCCAACACACCATAGTTTGGAAATAGTCCGAAAATTTCAAAAAACGACAAAACACTTTGGCTTCACTTGGCTTTATATAAGCAGGTGTTTCAAACAAACTTCGATACTACATATGTACACAGCCAAAATATATAGAATATACATCCCACAGCCAAACTTATAATTATATCGAAAACATATAACTATTTCGTAATTACTTACATCACAACAACACAGGGAATATACTGCACTAAGAGCAATATAATATATCATGCGTAGGAAACCGAATCAGACAAACACCCTCGCCGTTGAAGCAACCGCCGGCTTACAGTCCACCTCCCGGAGCACCGTCTTCAGCCCTTGCCCACCGCCGTTAGCCATCGGGTGTATCCCGTGTGACGGCCCCTCCATGTAAGCCCTATTCTCCCTCTCCTTCGCAAACGACACGTTATAACGCTTCTCCACATCTGCCATGCGTGCATCAAAAATATTACAATAATTACTCAACAACTAATTAGGGGTGGAAATTAGACAAATCAGAACCGAATAAGTTGATTTGCGAAAGATTCCTATTTTTCTTTTTCTAAAACTAATCCGTTTATGCTCCAAAGTAATTGGGAGAATCAGAAATTGTAATCCGGAAATTGGAATAAAAAACAAATCATTCCAGAATCAGTCAGTAATTTTTGATTCTTTTATGTTCTAAAAAATAAAATGCACAATAATATTTTAGGAATTATTTTCAAAAATTTTGTTCCAATTTCCAGAACCGCTGATAATATATAGGATAAATTAAGAGAAACCCCCCAACTTAGACCGACTAAATAACGAAAAACATCCCACCTATCCATATTTACCAAAAACCCCTGAGGTTTGTTTATGGTGCAAACCAGCCCTTACGGTATGACTTTTCACGGATTTTTTTTATTCGAGGGAATAGACTTTCCATAATTCATATAATTCATAATTTATGAATTTCAGATATTTTCTTTTATTTCTCGCCTAAGATATAATAGACATAACACATTTTTGTTGAAAAACTCGATCAACAGTTAATGTTGAAAAAAAATCTCGATCAACAGTTAATCAGAGGGAACGAGTAACGAGTCAAAACACAACAGTTAATCAGAGGAAACGAGTAACGAGTCAAAACAGCTAATCAAAGGAGGATTTTGATTATTGCGAATAGGTGGGGTTTTTTTGTTACTAAGCCTAAATCCAGGGGTGTTTTCGTAATTTATCCTAATGTATATATGGAAAAATTGAAATATGTATATAGATTAATTAAATAAAATAAAATAAAAATTAGACCTTGAGCAAGGTTGTCATAAAGCTGGCCATCTCTAGTAAGGGCCATCATAACCTGCGGTATGCCAAGTGGCAGGCTATCCCCCCTATCCACCTGCCAGAAATGGATCACCTTCCCGTACGTTTTAACAACCTTGTCGAAATCCTGGCGCTGGATGGGGGCGGGCACCCCCGGCATGAACAGCACGCCGCTCTTCACCTCGAACTCGTGCGAGTGCCAGAACCTCTTCTCGTCGTCGGGCAGAGTCAGGAAAAGCTCCTCCGAGACTATGTACTCCAGCCCGATCAGGCGGCCGTCGTCGTCGGGGCGGTCGTAGATCAGGCACTGCCGGAACTCTTCGTTCTGGTGCGCGCAGAAGTGGTGCGCCTCCACCTGCCTCGTCATATCGTCCCCGTAGAAATGGAATCTGATGATCATTGAGCAAAACTAATTAATATAATTGATTTGATTTAATTTGGAGGAATTTGATTTTGATTGTTTAATTGATTGATTTATTTGATTGATTACGCGCAGAGGTGCTGGTGGATTTTGTTGACGGGGCCGAAGCCTTGGATGGCGGCGGTTGCTTTCTCGAGGAGGGTGGTGGATGTTTGAGTTGGCTCGCCGGGGATTTTTGGGTGAGTCAAAACGTTCACTCCTTCCATTTTTTTTATTTTTTTTTCTTATCGATCGGAATTTTTGAGATTTTTTTTTTTATTTTTAGTTGTGATTGCGATTTGGAGAAGAGGGGGCGTGTATGTATTATGTGATATATGGTGATGATAGCTGTGGTTTGGCGTGGTGGCATGCAGAGTGGCGCGTGGCAGGACGCGTGGCACTTTGATTTTAAACGTGGCGAAAGAGTTGTCTGAGTTTGGGGCGGCTTGCGGGGAGTGCTGCTGTAACGTTATTTAAACTTGTTCTATGATTTTTTTTTTTTTTTTTTTTTTTAATTCTAAAAGCTCCAACTCAAAAGTATTGAAATGGGTTAGCAAATATTTATTTTGCATTTAATTATTTTATTTTCACATTTCTCAAAATGTAATAGTTCCAAGCTATCAAATAGTTGTTAAAAATCTCATCAAAAAAAATACTTGTTAATTAAAAATAATTAAATAATTGTTAATAGTTTTAATTATTGAATTTGTTTAGCGTGAGACATATGTGTTCTAAACTTATATTAGACATAATCCAATTACATGAGTGGTGCTACTAGTGTCTCAGTTTCATTTGATAAAGTCAGAACTCAGATCCCATTTCATTTGATGAAGTTGGGTCAACTCCCCAGTTTCATTTGATAAATAATAATTGCAAAAAAATGCATTATTAGGAAATTAAACTTAAGACATTTCACTACATTCAATAATGCTAACCTTGGAGGACATTAACTTATATAAACATTTCTAACAATCATTTTATATATTGACAAGACACAAAGTAAAATGAGAATAAATATAAGTATTTAAATAGAACATTAAATGCAATATTCATTATTATTAAATAATGTTAAATAAATTATTAAAAAATTTAATATAATAAACTGTGGTTCAATATCACAAAACATCTATTATTAATTATATAAATTAATAAATTCCACTATTAAAACTATAAAGAATACACAATTAAATATAAACAAATGCATGACTTAATACAAGCTCACCTAGGTTATTAGATCGACAGTGTTACAAATTTGAATACAAAATAAAATAAGATGTTTTTTTAGAAGAAAAGAATAGATTATAACCCATTCCAATTAGTTTTTTTACTTTAAAATAAATTATATACTCAAAATACTATATTGTGAATTTTATTTTAATATTTCGTTTAATCAAATAGTAAAATTAGATTGATTAAGCTCACATCCTTCAATTAGTAAACGTTAATCAAAGATTTGAATCAATTAAGCTTAATAATTAATAATAACGTATAATTGAAGTAATTATTTATAAGTAAAGTCTAAAATCTTTTTCATTCAATTTTATCATAAAAAAATAATAAATTTTATTCCTAACATGAGTAAGAATCAAATCGTAAGATTTGAATCGATTAAGCTCAAGTCCGTTCAATTTGTAAATATTTTTCAAAAATTTGAATCGGTTAAGTTCAACCATTGACAAGAATGTATTAACCGAGTTAACTATTTATAATTAAAGTCTAATATCCTTTTAATTCAATTTTAACAAAAAATAAAAATAAATTTAATTCGTAAAAATTGTGAAAATCAAATCGTAAATCGTCAGATCCGTAATATTTTGAATCGATTAAATGTTACGATTTTTACAAATTAAGTTTTATTATTTTTTATGATAAAATTCAATAAAAAAATACTAAACTTTAACTATGCATGATTACTTCGATTATTATGTTATTGTAAATTGTTGAGTTTAACCGATTCAAATATTTGAATATTGTCTACGAATTGAAATGACTTGGGCTTAATCGTTTCAAATCTTTGAATATTTTTTTCGAATTGAAAACACATGAGCTTAATTGATTCAAATCTTACGACTTAATTAAATCTTACGGTTTACGATTTACGATTTACGATTCAATTCAAACTTCAAATTCTTTCGAAATTCATTTTTAAATTACACGAGTTGATTCGCATTTCCTTAGATTTTTAAAATTTATTATATATAGATTTGTTAATATTGGATTTTTAATATATAATATTAGTTATATGAGAATTAGGAGTTTATTTAACATTACTTAATAAGTTTTTATATATGTTTTGTGTCCCAATCGTAAGTATTCTTGCATACTAGAAGAGGTTACAAGTTCGAATCCTATAGGATGCATTTTTGGACGGGTGATTTAATGATTTTTATGAGTTCAAGCAAAGACTGTCACTTTTTTGGTACCATTGAGTGGGATATCAACATGCAAATATGAATTTATTAGCAATTTATACAACATGATTGTATGAGTGAATTACGAATGTATATGACTATAAGTGACTAGAAGTGACTATAAGTTACTATATTTTACTATAGGTGACAAAAGTGAGTAGTCATACTTACCAGCATCACCCATCATCAGTGGTATGTACCCCAAAAATTGTGTCGCGCGATTTTGGCTTGTGGATTTGCTTTATGAATAAATCAGTTATGCCTCTGTCCCAGTTGTAGCCATTCGTTCGATCGGTATCTTCGCAGTAGTTGAACATCCACCAAGCTACAAGTTCGCAGTACTTACACGGTTTTCGATGGAGTGACGGGTGGACACTGAATTTTCGTGCAACTAGGACTTGTTGCAATCTTCTTGACTTGTCAAAACTCATTCTTGCGTTCCCAGATTGGATGCCGATAATTTATTTGCAATGCACTATGATTTGTAACTTTTCAGTATTAGTACAAATGCCCCATAATAATTTCGGGACGATATTTCCCAAAGTAAATCGGTGAGTTGACACAACCCAAGTGGAGACGAACTCACCTATTTTTCCTCCCCGCCCTTTTCATTTTCTGATTCATTCCTCTTAAACCCTACCATTTACCCACTGTACTTCCATTTCAATTCCTTCGTCAAATTTTCCGATGAAAAACCCTTTCCTATTCCCAACCATCGACCCTCCATAATCGGGCGAATCAAAAATTAATCTGTAGAAATATTATTACCAAGAGAAGCGGAGCGGAAGAAATTCAAAAAAGATGAGTACTGTTGACAAAATGTTGATCAAGGGTATCCGGAGCTTCGACCCGGAAAACCGGAACGTCATCACCTTCTTCAAGCCCTTGACTCTCATCGTCGGCCACAACGGCGCTGGAAAAACCGTAAATTAATTCATCTCAATTTTTTTTTTTTGGTTTTTCAGTTTTTAATTGACGCTGCTTTGATTTCGGTATAGATTTCTTCGTATGTAGAGTTTTTTTAGTTGCATTATTGGTACCAATTTAGCATTTTTCAATTTTTTGTGCCTTTTGCTTGAGCATACAGTTGTGGATGGCAGCAGTCGTACACTGTGCACTAGAAATATTGTGTTATTGTACATTGTGCATTGTGAATTGTACTCTTATGAACTATGTAGATTTTGATTCGTTATATAAAATTTTATATGAGTTAAAAACTTAGACCATGCTACACCTTCTTCAATTGTTTTTTTTTTTTTTTTTTTATCTTCTCGTTTTTTCCACTTTTTCACAATGAGGATGTTATGCTGTATTCGTTCTTGAAAAAAAAAACTAACCAGTATGTTTGTTTCTTTCTGCAGACTATAATTGAGTGCTTGAAAGTAGCATGTACGGGAGAATTACCTCCGAACGCCCGGTCCGGTCACAGCTTTATTCATGATCCGAAGGTGTGTACGTATTTTCTGTACCTATCTATAGATTTCAATTTAGTCGGGTATTAATATAAGTGTACACTTGTAAATAATTTTTTTTTTTCTTTTTGCAATGATGATTTTAGGTGGCCGGAGAGACGGAGACAAAGGGGCAAATAAAGCTGAGGTTTAAAACAGCAGCGAGGAAGGATGTGGTCTGCATAAGGTCATTTCAGCTTACCCAGAAAGCTACTAAGATGGAGTACAAGGCGATTGAGTCTGTGCTCCAGACAATAAATCCTCAGACTGGAGAGGTAAAAGAACTACCATTATGTGTTGCCTTTTCTATGATCACAATTATTTTAAGTGCATTTATAAATATTATGTATTCAATTTGCTCAATATTTTTGAGGTTGGACATTTGTGAAGAACAGACTGGCTCGATTTTAACAGATCTTTGTCAGTATTGTAATTGGTTCATGCTGTTTTCTTTACACCTTTTCTTGGTACAATGGATTTGTTTACCTGGTGTCAATTGATTTTCTGACTGTGCTGGTGCATTAGGAACCACTATCCTGATTTTAGGAACCGTTAATTACAATGCTGGTGAGCTTTAGGAACCGCTATCCTGATTTTATAAATATTGTGTGGATTCATGTGCTATCTGATTATTCCTTTTCAAGATTCTAATGGGAAGAGTGGACTTGATAACATTAGCCCTTTTTTTGAGGAGTGATTGAATGATGCTACTCTTTTGATGCTACACTTTGTTCCCAACGGGAACTTTGGCATTTTATGCATAAAGCTGTTGTATTGAGAAACTCTTCTTCGGATATAGGGAAATGCAGACTTATTTTTTTCATTAGTATATAAAATTGACCTGGAAGAATGAAGGTTTTTAAGTTTTTGAAGTTGACTGGAGAACTACAACATAAAAGGAAAACTCGAATCGCGTGGAAGTGGATATAACCCTGGTCCTAAAATTTGACTTATGATTGTCAAAGGACAGAGACAAGAATATGCTTAAGCAGTATAAATTGCATTAAGTTTCGCCAAGATTCTTGTCAATGTTTTGTTGGATACAACAGTTGTACTTGGTCCTGCATTTTTGCTGTATATTTTTTTCCCTTTTTTCATTATTCTGCTACTTCCATCTTTTGGCGGTTATGGTATTGATGTTAACTTACTGAAAGTCAATGTTTTAGTACTATCTTTTTATTTCAGATTGCAAATGACTTAGAATTTGGGAGTCGTAAGCAGAAATACTCGAATCTTTGATCAATAAAATCATAGTCCTCGTTGCAGATGATTATGCCACACCAATTCTTGTGACAAAATTATGAAATTGAATGAAATCATTGATCAAAGGGCCTTGGAGAATCATGTGAATATCTGATGCTATCTATTAGTGGACGATTAAAAGGGTCCTTTCTGGCTTTGTTGTCCTTGCTCTGTGTATATTAGACAAAATGTTTTGATGCATCTGTTAAAACTTTAGGGAGTGAAGGACACTTGGAATAGAGGAAATGGGCTGTTCAGGTGCTTATGCTGTTTGAAGAGACGGGCCTTGAAAAATGATGGTTTATATCATGAATCTAACTTATATATGTTGAGATGAAATCGAAGATTAAATACAGCAACATAACTTAAAAATGATAATGGGACTGTTTCCGCAAAAAAACAAATATTGCATTTGCACGCAAAAAAGTAAATATTGCCTATTTGATGATCCAATCTTTTGGGGCTGAAAACTGAGTATGGAAAGTTCTCTCTTGAGGTCGTGTTCATTCAAATTGTTCCTTATTAGTATATATTGCTTTCCCGTGAAGCGTGGTTGATCCAAGAGTCATTTGGGCACTAAGGCATATAGTCACTTTTGGCTCTTTAATGGCACAGGGTCAAAATAGCCCAACTGGATAGAGAAAACTATGATTGTAATGTAACAAACAATTATGAGGCCAAACTAGTCATTTCTTTCAAAATGCTGCTTCTTCTCGTCAAACTCTAGGGACAGTGGAAGTAAGCATAATGTTCCAAACATCAGAGATCTTGTAATATAGGAAAACCTCGAACAAAGTACTTGTTTCTAGTTATCACCATCCAATTTCTCTTTGTACCTCTAAGTCTTACCCTGTATGGATCTTTAGTTTTTATATGATGAGTTAGACTTATAAATTATAATTTGCTTTTGATTTCTCAAACCACTGGCTCGCTTATATATGCATTATCTATAAAACGTATTAGGTTGGGGTCATGCTGTCTTTATTAACAAATGTATTAGGTTAAGAATAATTGATGATAACGTCTCATGAACTTTATTATGTTTCCAAGTGACAGAAAGTTTGCCTGAGTTATCGATGCGCTGATATGGACCGAGAAATTCCGGCACTTATGGGGGTGTCTAAAGCCATTCTAGAGAATGTTATATTTGTTCACCAAGATGAGGCTAATTGGCCATTGCAAGATGCATCAACGCTGAAAAAGAAGTTCGACGACATTTTCTCTGCAACTAGGTATGTTGTTTTCTGTAAGAGGTGAAGTATATTTTATGCCTTTGTATCTTCTGCTGTATTGTCTTTATTGAGGTAAATTTTTTTTTTTTTTTTTTTTTTATGTATTATTACTGAGATTGTATTCATAAATTAGGAAAATACAGCTGAAAAATAATATAGGAAATCACCTGGCACAACATTTTCTAAATTTACCTTTAGCTAATACTATCCTAGAACCATTTTTTTCTGTAGAATGTGGTTAAGACTAGTTATGGAAGAAAATATCACGTGGGAGGGGCATAAAGATGCATGAAGACATTTGTACCCTTGAAACTAAAGTTTGGTATAGCAAACACATCAACTTATAAATTAATTGCTCAAAGTTGATTTATAAGTTGATTTATCATAATATTTGCATACACCCCAACTTTTATAAATAAGTTATTTGAAACTTTACTCATAATTACCAACTTCTACTTTTTCAAAAGCTTTTGCCAACACCACCTTAGAATATTTTCTTTATTTTCTCATGTAAAGTAAATCTGTCATTTTGATTATTCTCGAAGGTACACAAAGGCGTTGGAGGTTATCAAAAAGCTTCACAAGGATCAGGCACAGGAGATAAAGTCTTATAAGCTAAAACTGGAGCATCTACAAACACTGAGAGATGCCGCTTTTAAGGTTCTCATCACGGTCCTTGGGGCATTAGCTAAGGACATACACATTTTTTTTTATCTTAATCAGAACATTGATTTGCCACCACTTGATGATCATTGTAATTTATGTTTAAAAATATGAGTACATGCCTGAAACAAAATAAGTGGAAATTGACAAACTGGCAGTCAAGTAAGATTTATTTTTAGGGAGGAGAGATGGCAGATATCTTAATCATATAATGAAACCTTTTAAGGACAGTTCGCAACAGATACTTTCCAGTTAATGAATTTTGATGAGTTTTATTTTCAGATTATACTAACTGACCAGTGTTGTTTAATCCAGCTACGAGGAAGCATTACGCAAGATGAAGAAAAAACAGAAACTATAAATTTTCAGATGCAGGAGCTTGACATAAAAATTCAGAATGTGGACAGGGAGATTAATCAAACTGAATTAATGTTGAAGGACCTCCGAAAATTACAAGGTCAGGTAGCTACCAAGTCAGGGGAACGAAAATCCAAGTTTGAGGAACAGCAGAAGCGTTATGCGGCACTTACTGAGGAAAATGAAGGTCAGTCAAATAATAGCATGATCTTGTTTCTTCTTCTTTTTCCTCTGATTATATGTTTCTGCTATTTCATCCCTCACATTTTAATTTTTTTCCTTAGATACTGATGAGGAACTGAATGAGTGGAAATCCAAGTTTGACGAGAGGATTGCAATTTTAGATTCCAAAATAGACAAGTTATTGAGGGAAAAGGGAGATACAGAGGAGGAAAGTCGAGCTCAGTCAGACGAGATTGCAAAAAATATGAAGGAGATTGCCAAGCTTCAAGCAGCCACCGATGTAACTTTCATTGCTCCCTATGCTACACAAGATTCTGCATGTGCTCCGTTAATCTCTTTTGTTCCTGGTCATATACTCTATATTTCGCATGCAGGCTCATATATCCTTGAAGAATGAAAGAGACTCAACTGTTAGAAGCTTATTCAGAAAGCACAATTTAGGTTCTCTGCCAAGTGGGCCCTTCAGCGATGAGGTTGCTTCTGACCTTACTGACCGAATTCAATCAAAGTTGAAGGATTTTGAAAATGACTTGCAAGAAAAGAAGGTTCTGTTTTCTCCTTGTGAATTAATTATCGTTTTCTTCAGCAATTTTTTACATGTGGTAGCCTTTAATAACATCATGCTGCTAGCATTTGGCGCTAATTTGCTAATAATGCTCCCATTTTCCTTTTTGGGTGGTGTGACAAATTCTGTCTTGAGAATTCCAGAATAATTTAAGCTGACGTGGTACTTTCAAGTTGATTGGCACATAAATCAATTAGAGTCTTACGTGGAAAATGGATATAGTTGGATCCTTCTCAATCATTAATTTATGGTAGATTTGTATAATTGCACAAGAGTCTAAGTAAGTATATATTCAGAGCTCTCTTTTTGTATACATATATTTTTCTGGAGATATTCTTGTTCCGATATGAGTTTGGACTCATAATATATGCTGGATTGAAACTCTCATGTAATGGAAAGGAACACAAACAGTTTTAAATGCCTAAAAAAAATAAACTTCATTCTTAAAAAATAAGTTAATGTGATCTTTACCATTTTAAATTAGATGTCGATAAGGAGTCATTTTGTGTTTTTTTTTGCGCTGAAAGATACATTAATCGTCAATCTTGTGTAGTACTGTTTCAAGGATACTTAATATCCTAAACTTTGTTTTGTTTTAGTTCAAAATTTAACTTTTAACGTAGTAAGAAACGTGAGTACTAGATCGCTTTTTGGCTTTTATGTTGCTTTAACATATAACGCTGAACTTACTGATTCGGTTAAATTAGAAAGGATAAGCTACCATTGTGATCCTCTGCATTTTCCAACTTTTTTTTTCCCGATTCCATTAAGAGTTATGGCTTAAGCTTTCAAGCAATTTGAGTGCCATGTCATCCTTTTTGGATTTTATGTTGCTTGAACAACAAAAGAACCCATTGCAATATCAAACTACTCCTACACTTCTTCACATTAGGAATGCACTATGTATCGGTTTTGTTTTCTTAAGAGAATAAACTGAGCCCTTTTCAGCATATTAGAAGATATTCTTTCCTCGCGAGGAAACATTGGTGATAATGATTTCTCAAGTTTTCAACTGTTTTTTGTACCTTATCAATGTCTATTGGAGGAAATTCAGAGTGTACCTTCTTTTAGATACATCGTTTTCACTAATCTTAACGAAACAATGTATGTTTTTCTTGTAAGATTATTCATCACGCTCCTCGAGTGAGGTGATCCCTTAATATCCTTTTAGTTATGGTCCTTCTGGAAGACGATTACCAAAACCACGTTTTTGGACCTATAGAGTGTCAGTTTTCAGTCTTAGAAACCCCATTAGGATATTCATTTTGTTCAGGTAGTATTTTCTTGACAAGATGGTCTTTTTTATCTGCTTTTTCTTGTTTAGCTTCTATTACTTTCATTGTATCTATGTTTGATTTTGATGATAGGCTTGTCTGTGATTTTATATTAATCCAGAAATCAAATGACTTGGAACTTAAAGCAGCATTTGATCAATACATGCATGCAAATGACCGATGGAAAGAAATTGAGGCTCAGAAAGAGGCTAAAGCAGATATGAAGGTTTGTCATTGAGTATGATTTCCGTCTATTTTGAGGGTTGTTACTTTTTCCAATTAATTTTGTATGATTCTTTCACAGACTCGTATTTTGGAACGTATTCGAGAGAAGGAGGTTGAACGTGATTCATTTGAAGGTCAGGTTGCTGCTGTTGATGTTACCATCATTAATGAGAGAGATAGGAACATGGTAATCACAAAGTTCTGATTCAATTTTAAAAGTTGCCTTTTATCTTGTCGAAGAACTAATTTTATCTTCCTAAAATGCAGGAAATTGAAGTGGAAAGGAGAGCTAATCAGTTTGCTGCAAGAGAATTTGAGTTGACCCTTCGACAAAAGCAACGTGAAAAGTTTAACCTGGACCAAGAAATTGATGCTCTTAGTAAGGAAAGGGACACCATGAGTGCTGATTCCCATGAAAGAGTTGTACTTTCTCTTAAGAAAGCAGAGTTGGAAAGTTACAAAAAGAAACATAGAAGAATGCAAGTTCTTAAATTTTCAAACTATTCTATTTCGTGTAAGAAAATAATTTTTTTTTAACTAATAGGTATTTCTACTATATTATCCAGAGTGGATGATTGCAAGGAGAGTGTTAGAGGAGTGCTAAAGGGAAGGATTCCACCTGACAAGGATTTGAAGAAGGAAGTTCTTCAGGTTCAAAGGTTGTTATAGCTGTCTTTTCACTTTTACTTTTTCATGTGTAGGGTGGGCTACCATGGTATTTTTCTTTTTGATTGGTGAATGCTTTTGGATGTGCTTTCACTTGAAGCTTAACATAAATTTTGCTAAGTTAAGGAGTGCACTATATGAATTAGGTAACATGGATTGATATAATAGAAGTTATACGTGCACCACATATGCATGCAAAGATCTACTTGAACTCCACGATGCGAGTAATGAAGCTGTTTAAATTGTTTCTTGAGTCGAAATTCAGTCATTATTATGTTTTAGCTAGCTTTCGACTTTAAGTAATGTTTGGCAGAGCTTGTGTAGTATTTTTTTCTTCGTCTCAGTGATCCGTTTGACCTAAATTTGAAAAATATGCATTTAGATCTTTGGCCAAGTTATATAATTTTGAGAGCATGTGGTTCATATGTGTGGGCTCACTCGCCTCACTTTAATATAGTTGTCTATATAGAAGTTTAAAGTTGCATTTACTTTTTTCTAGCTATCTATTGTTCTCTATTATATGAAGAGATTTTTTTATTCTTTCTTCAAGTCCTTGAAGATGTCTCTCTTATTTCCCGTTAGAATCTCCCTTGCTGCCGCATCAGTAAGGTATTATTAGTAGTTGATTTAGATCCTTGAATTCAAACTCAGGCTAGCATCTGGGTAGGGGAAAGTGCTGCACATTTTTTTCTTTCGAGAATGTTAGGTATTTGGACGTGTGATTATACTGGGCGTGGTAACTCAAGTAAATTAATGTCACGAAAGGAAAGCTCCAGTTTTGATATATTTTTATGATGTAGGAAGTTCATGCTTGAGAGCTTTATTGTAGGAGGTTGGATATAGAAACAGTAATTGCATTGTTAGAATCCATTTGTAATTGTTGCCGAGTCCTCACAATAAAATAAATAAATCAGGAAATTGGCAGATTGCTCCACATTCATATGTTATACTTTGAGTTCAATGAGTTAGAGAAATTTTTGAAGTGTAGAATATCATATTAATGTTCAAAACGTTCATACTGACCAAAACATAACTTAAGGGTCTTTGTCACTGGGAGGCTTACAAATATTGGTCTTTCATATGATTGAACTATCGATTTTCTTATCTCTAGTCTAGTTCTCTAAGAAAGTTTATGTATGTCATAATATCATTTTTGCTGTTGCAGTTCTCTCCAGAGAGAGTATGATGACTTAGACCACAAAGCTGATGAAGCCAGAAATGATGTGACTACCATGAAGTTGAAAATACAAGAAATTAGCAGTAACTTGTCCAAATTCCGCAAAGATCTAGAGTGTAAGCCTTACTGGGAATGTTGCACTAAATTCTATCAAGAATACGAATGTATTATCACTGTTTTTCCTCATATCAAACAAAAAAAAAATATTAGTTCTCGCTTAGAAATAAATTTTCGTAAAATCTCATCTAATAACTAACTATTAACAAGTAGTAAAGTAAGGTTCTATTCCAACATGAACAAAAAAGACAATATACAGGATGGGTCGAAAGATTTGTGATACTTGGCTTGATTCAGGGAAACTACAAGATATATAAAGAATATACCAACCCTAAGGCTCCATAGGTTTAATTGTGGATCGAAGACAACAATAGAAACATTTGAGTCTTAAATTTTTATTTAATTTGGAATGCACGCATATCAGGAACCAAGTTTTCATCAAAGGACCAAGTGAAATTTGTAACTCAAATATATGTTCCTACTTTGTTCTTGAAGATACTTAAGAGCACATATTTCTTTGAATTATATGCACAAATTTTGCAATAAAAACTTTCTCTTTGGAGATTGGTAACCATATTAACAGATTGAAGGAATGAGTTTTATTGTCAGGCCATGGCACACTTGTTATTTAGTGATCTTTGATGGCCATATACACGATTGAAAGAACTTTATCCTTTTATTGGCTTCTTCCCTTTTTTTTTGGAAAGGTCTACTCCAGTTAGATTTAAATTTTGTTTCGCTCTTTTGTGCTCTTCTTTCTGGTGTTTTTAAAAAGAAGCTCGTATTCTTAGTCCCTCAATCTTTGTGTAGAGTTCTGTGGATCATTTCATAATCACTTTCTGATTGGTTTGAATAATGCAGCTAGACAGAGGTTTCTTGAATCTAAACTTCAGTCTTCAGACCAGCCGTCTGGTGGTATCGACTCATATTTTACAATCTTAGAGACTGCTAAGGAAAAGAGAGATGTCCAGAGAAGGTTTCTGTTTTATGTATATTTGTACATACCAGTCCCGTGCATTAATGTGTATGTAGTAGCAACAGCCTGAGACTTATTGAATTAAATGCAGTAAATATAACATTGCTGATGGCATGAGGCAAATGTTTGATCCATTTGAAAGAGTTGCACGTGCTCATCACATTTGTCCTTGCTGTGAGAGACCTTTTTCATCAAATGAGGAAGATGAATTTGTTAAAAAGGTACTTGGGTTCACTAAAATTTATAGACGACTTATTACACTTATTGTGTGAAGCAAGATGTATATAACTCCTTGTGCATCATTACAGCAAAGAGTGAAAGCAGCAAGTTCTGCTGAGCATATGAAAGCATTAGCAGTGGACTCTTCAAAGGCTGATTTTCATTTTCAGCAATTAGACAAGCTCCGAGTGGTTTATGAAGAATATGTCAAAACAGGGAAGGAGTTGATTCCTCTTGCTGAGAAAAATCTTAATCACTTAAATGAAGAACTGGATCAAAAGAATCAAGCCCTTGATGATGTAATTGTCAACTTTGGTATACTCTGGTTTTAATTCTATACTTGTGCTCACAGTTTGTCCTTTCTATTTTATGTAGCTGTTCTATGAAAGCTTCCTATTCAACTTATGTTAAATTGATGGTTACCTAGGATTAATTATTCGACTTGTGTCTGAATGTACATGTCCAACTTATAGAAGTCATCCCTTTTATGTGTTGCTTGGCTCACAAATAATAGTTGTGTGCACAATGGAATTTCCTTGATACATTAGAGAAATAGAAATCTTAGCATTCATTTTCCACACGTGTTCTAATTATGATGTGTACTACCTAAAAGAAGTGATATACATGTGCAGAGTTGTTAGCATATGATAGAACCTTGTGTGTACCATTGTGTTGGCCAGACATCAATTGATTTTAGAAGTAATTTCAACCTCAAATGAGCGTATCTTTCTGGTTTGAATATGCCGCTGTGGGGTTGTTGAAACTTTTTTGTGGAGGGAATAATTACTACCAAGAATCATGATTATTTTAGTTTTGGAAACTAAAATGCTTCATAAGTTGATGACAATGATTAAATAATTTTATCCAAGAGCATCTTTATCTTTCTCCATAACAATGTTTTCTGCCTACAGTTGCTGGGTGTTTTAGCTCAAATAAAATCGGAAAAGGATTCAGTTGATGCCTTGATACAACCTGTAGAAACTGCTGATAGACATCTCCAGGACATTCAAGGTTTGCAGAGACTAGTAGGTGAACTGGAAAGCAAACTTGATGTTCAAGCGCAAGGTGCCAGATCTCTAGAAGATATTTCATCAGAGCTGAAAATGTTGGAAAGAACTAGGTTTTTAACCCACTTTATCTCACTAAAATGATTACTAATTTCCTGCTTTTTTTTAATCATCTGATTAAGTTAGTTCAATCAGGTCCTTTGATCTTGTATGTGTAGAGGTTCTTTCCTGAAATGTTTTGTTAATTACTTAATTGTCTTTATTTGTTGATCATCAGGAGTACCTTGATTGATGATATCGAGAAGTTAAGAGATGATCAGATCACCATGCAGCAGGATTTGTCGTCGCTACAATTACGGTGGGGTAGTGTAAGAGAAGAGAAAATTCAAATTCAAAATATACTATCTAACATCAAAAGAGTAGAAGAGGAGTTAGATCGTCTGTCTGAAGAGAAAAGCCAAGTTGAGCTGGATTTGAAGGTAAATCATTTTCAAAACCATTCTGATGCATGTTGACCTGGCAATGTAAATATATATTTGTCAATAAAACATTTGTGTAGACATTACCTAGAGATCTATATAACTTCCACTGAACATATATGGTGAAAGACTACTGGGTCTGGATTAGCAAGTATGAAATACAAGCCCCAAAATATAGTATTAAGAAAATAAAGGTCCACTTTTTATCCTTGTGTATTTAACACAAGTCTTATTCTGATAAACGTTTTTAACGACATATGGTTTTAAAATTGAAGATTGTGCAAAATCGTTACAGCTCAACACCCACGGTGAACTGATAGTTTTTATTGATGCTTTGTTCAAATTCCCTTTTCATTCATTTGCAAGAGTAACGACTTTTGACCCATTTTTCTACTGCGCTTGAAAGGAATTTTGAGTATGTTAAAGTGTTGTAGACTGTTCATTTCTTATAAGCTGAAAGTAATACATGTTGAAACTTACAAGGAGGCCAGAGCTGGAGGGTGGTCATGTTCTAGAAACTTTCATGAAATTAAAACACTTCAGTCTTTTCGAGGTTCCCTCTATAAGTCGTTCTTAATGACATGTATCTTGGATTTGTAACTGTCGTTATTTCTTAGATACCATGTTACTGGAAAATGCTTAATTTTTGGGATGTTGAATGAACAAGATTTCTTCCCTAAACTAGAGAGATATTCCTATTTTTTCGTAAATATTGGAATCCCATAGTCAATAGGTGCAATATATCATTCTAGAAAGTCTTTTCTGTAACATCGTATGACTATATATTTTGATGATTTTGTTGATTTGGCTAATAACACACTTCATCCTTAATCCATTATTAAAGGTTTAATGTTTCTCAAAATTTCAGCATTTGGCAGAGGCTCTCGGCCCTTTATCAAAGGAGAAAAAGAAGCTGCTGGATGAATATAACAATTTGGAAGTCAAGCTTAATCATGAATATGAATTGCAGGCTGACCATTACAGAAAAAACCAGCAGGAAGTTGATACGCTGCTTAATATGTATTCTGGAATCAAAGAGTATGTTATCTGGCATTAGATCTGATATTGGGGTTTTTATTCTCATCAATGTGTTCCATTACGAATTGTTTTCTTCTAGGTATGATACCTACAATAAAGGAGAGAAATTGAAAGCACTACAAGAAAAGCAAGCTCTGTCAGAATCCAAGCTTAGAAATTGTAAAACCAGAATGGAAGAACTTTTGAAGGAACTAGATAAGAGTAGAGACTTGAGTCGGAATCAGGCAGAATTAAGGCGCAATATAGAAGAGAACCTGGAATACAGGAAACTGAAGGCACAAGTGGATGAGCTCACTCGGGAAATTGAATCACTTGAAGATAAGGTGCTGAAGATGGGTGGTGTCTCCAAGATTGAAGCTCTGCTTGTAAAACTATCACAAGAACGGGAGAGTCTCCTCACAGAGGTTTGATTTTTATTTTGTTTTTCTTCTGTAAATGCTTTATATACTATAAGTGACATCATGAGACCGTGATCTAGATACGCTGAAATGAGAAAAATTGATCAAGATTCATGGATTTGAAGTTTACGGCATTGAGTATATTTTAGATTTAGTTATGACATTATGTGCTGAAAGGAGTGACACCGTTATTGGTGGATAACATGCATCATCGGATGTCGCCGATCTGATAAAATTGGAATGGTATAGAGAAGCTTAGCATGGTCCTGCGCGAGGATGACACGCATAAATCGGATAACATGCTTCCTATATCATAATATTCTCTCTTTTTCCATTACAGAGTTATCACTCTGTACATTCTTTTTCATTTATCTATTAATTTCATGCATATACTTTACTTCAAATTTTCTTTTTCATATGGCATGGAAAAGGGTTGTCTCAATTCTTTGAACCCTTTTGTACTACAATCCATGTGGTCTGATTTATAATACCATTGGCAATAGCTGAGAGGTGGATTCTGGTTGCAGTTAAACAGGTGCCGTGGGACCTTGTCTGTATACAGGAGCAACATTGATAAAAATAAAGCAGATCTTAAGCAGGCACAATACAAAGACATTGACAAGCGCTATTTTGATCAACTAATTCAGCTAAAGGTAATCTGTAACTTTAGGTTGCATAACAGCTCCGAAAATGAAGAAAGTTATTAAATGATAGTCACGCTGCTTTTCTTTTTTCACTACAGACAACTGAGATGGCAAACAAGGATCTAGACAGATATTACAAAGCACTCGACAAGTGAGCTCTTCATTTGTTCTTCTATCTAAGTCTTTGTTTTGTGTTTGCGTCTGCACAAGTTTTGACACTTTTTCCATTGCTGGTGTTAATCAACTGAGCGTATTCACCTCCTCATTCTGTGGGCTGAGCTCACTTCTAATGATGTTTCAAGTGTTTTGGAAATTCTTATTGATTAAGGCTTTTGAAGTTTGTAGTTGCGCCCAATGATGTCAGTCACATTTGCTCTAGTTCGTGTTTGTTAATTAGATTACTCTCCTCGTTAATTTGCTGTTACATCATATTCAATTGGGGCCACTTCTCGTTGGCTCAACTTTCTATTTTTTGCCGCACCATAAGTTTTTAGTGTGTAGACAAAAGAGACGAATAGAACTATTTGTAGCTGCACCAACTTCTCTCTCTGTGGTGATGATTAAGATTTGTTATCATTGTGTCATTTTTGAAAGTGCTGGTTTTTGCAGTATTTTATATATTTGTGTTATACCTGTCTGACAGTAACAACCCTACAATATTCTTACAATATATCTTGTTTATATTTTAGAGCACTGATGCGCTTCCACTCAATGAAAATGGAGGAGATAAATAAGATTATTCGGGAACTGTGGCAGCAGACTTACAGGGGGCAGGATATTGATTATATTTGCATTCATTCAGATTCTGATGGTGCTGGTACTCGTTCTTACAGCTATAGGGTAATTTAATTTTGTTTCCTTGTCATGACTCTTTTCCGAGAGTGGGCTCATTCAATATTACAATCTAATAATCAATATTTACTTTGTCCAGCTTTTCTACAATCTTATACTTTGGTTGATCTCGGCTAATTATACACACTATATGGTCTTTTGCTTACCCGTAGCTATTTCCTCCTGTTTTTTAATTTCATATTTCTCAAAAAAAATAAAAAAAAAAAATTGCCGAAAGGCTTTGTCACTCCTTTTCTACTCTGAAAGGGTCACAATCTTCTCATTTTGTTGAATCTTTTTTCGACTTGAGATTTTTCTTGATTAATATTATCAATTACTATTGGTCAAAATATTGCAGGTGTTAATGCAAACTGGTGATGCAGAGCTAGAAATGAGAGGCAGATGCAGTGCTGGTCAAAAGGTAAATCATATTCAAGTGTTCAATATGATTTATATGTAACACAACACAACTTCTGATTTCAATCCTTACTTTTTGTTTCCTTTTCTTAATTTTTTTTTCTTTCAATTCCATTCTCTTTCAATTTCAGGTCCTTGCTTCACTTATCATACGATTGGCATTAGCCGAAACTTTTTGCCTGAATTGTGGAATACTAGCCCTTGACGAGCCAACGACAAATCTGGACGGCCCAAATTCCGAGTCTCTTGCTGCAGCTCTTCTTAGGTATGGTTTAATCGCAATCGATAGAAGAGATAATTAGTATTTTTCATGCATTTACTTAATATTAATTTTCTTTAAATAATCAGAATAATGGAGGATAGAAAAGGCCAAGAGAATTTTCAGCTTATCGTAATTACTCACGATGAGAGATTTGCTCAACTTATTGGCCAACGACAACATGCTGAAAAGTACTACCGCATCACTAAAGACGACTAGTAAGCCTACTTCTTTTAAGAACCGTTTTCCTCTAAATTTGGACTAATATTTTGCATTACGGAACTTAATTTTCATGTTTTTATTTTATTTTCCAGTCAGCATAGCATTATTGAAGCCCAGGAGATATTCGATTGACCTTGTGGGAATGAAGTTGTGTGTAGATGGGCTTTTTTTTGCTGCTTATTTTCTTCGACTTGCTGTAATTATTCGACATTCGTAACAAGATTCACATGCTCAAATCCGATTATCCATAATTATTAAGCCTTGAATTATGAGTTGATGCATTTTGTATATTATTGTTCTTTTGTTCTTGTGGTCGTAGCTGTTGTCACGTGCTCTGAAGCTATTAAGTCGAAACTGGAACAATCGTGGACTTCACTTTCACATCTTCGTTGTCTGTGGCCGCATTTTGTCTTATGAGAAAAAAAAAAAAAAAAAAACCACGAAAAACAGGACAATAGGAATACATGCAGCATACCTTCCCACTAAACAACATAAAAACGGTGACGAATAACCGCATATGGTGCCCATATAACATGAAAAAATAATTAACAAACATTTCAGAAACTTATTCAAGCAATACTAACAGCTTATTCCAACCCCCGTATCTTGAAACAATCAAAATTAGTTTCGGTAGTCTTAAGGTTCCACAAAGAAGCATATTTTTGTAAGCCGAGACATTCTTCTCTACGCGATGCGATCATTATTGACGACGAGGTTTTTCAGAAGATAATTTCAAGTTGTCCTTTGATTGAAACTATGTGTATCGAAGATTGTCAAAAGGTTAAAAACATTTAAGTTGAACGGTCTTCACAATCTCAAGTACTTGTGTTATCTCAACGAGGAACTTTGTAGCTCATCTCTTGAAACCATCAAAATTAGTTTTATGTAATCTTAGTTTCCGTAAAGAAGCAGATTTTCGTAATCCGGTTCATGTATCTCTACGAGATGTGAGATTGTCGTTCGACCACTTTTTTCGTCTCTTCCAAGTCTGGAACGCTTGCAGAATTTCTTGGAACTTCATACACTTATTCTTGTATTTGATTCAAATAAAATGTTTTAGATCCATGATAATTAGTTAGATATTGAGTTATTCTATCAAATTTTTATCTATTTTAAGATTTTAAACTTTTTTCCCAGCAAGCGTTGCATTTTCTAATAATCTACGTTGCGTACTTCTAATTTAAAAGAGTTTTGGCAAGTTGAAATATACTATATTTTATTTTATTTTATTATATTTAAACAAATATTACTTATATTTACTTGTTCAATAATATTTCCATGACTATTTTCAAAAAAACTCCAGGTCTCAGACATGAATCCCGTAAACTTTTTATTTATCTTAACTTCGATAATATTTTAGTCATATTTTCTCCAGAATTCTTAACTCCTAACCAAAAAATTAGTGTCCATTCGTACTCACTGGAATGAATTAATGTGTAGATTATACAATAAAGGAACCCATTTTTTCAAATTTTTAAAACTCGCTGAGGGCACCAAGTTTCTCAGGAACAGCCCTGACTGTGAGACACTGTGATTGATAAAAAAAAAGGATCAAATAAGATGAATTGGTAAAAAAGAAACTAGTGAAATCGACGATGAAAACGGTATTCACTCAATTTTCATCGTGATTTTATTTGGCTTATCCTACTTTGCAACCTTGAAATATAATTTTATGCCACTTTGCACCATTCAAAAATATTTATAGCGCTTTGCACCCTTGAAACATAATGAACCATGCGTAATGCACCACCAATGAATTTCTAAAGCTAATGAAGGTAATCTAATAATTTTAGTGGCATTTTTTAGGATGCCAAATGTCAAATCATTTTTTATTCATTATCATTTCGAAACTACAAAGTGCAACAATAAAAATAGATCTCATCAACATATTAACTTTTTTTTTCACAAAAAATATTTTACAAAAAACAAAATCAACGCAAAAATATACTTCAGCTATTTAGGTGTCAATTTATTTGATAATTATATTTTCTTCCAAAGATTTCAATTAAATATTTTCACTAATTAAAATATAAAAAATCCATTAATCGAATAATTTGGTGAGATTTTTTTTTTTTCAGTAATTCGATGGGATTTTGTGTTTCGCATTATTTATGCTGGTAATTATGTTAAGAGGAAGAGAATAATAATTTAATTTGTAACTTTGCACCCTGGAAATAAAAAGCCAATAAAAAATTAAATTACCCTTATTCAGTTTAAATATATTAATTCATGGTGCATTATGAATGATTTATTGTGTTTTGAGTAGGGGTGTGAACGAGCCGAACTCAAGCCGAGCTCGGCTATTTTAGCCAGCTCGAGCTCGAGCTAATCGAGCCAATTTTGACGAGTTCGAGCTCGAGCTCGAGCTCGAGCTCGGGCTCGAGCTCGAGCTCGAGCTCGGGCTCATTTAATTTTTTTTATTTAATTTTTTATTAAAATCATTTAACTTTTTAGTAAAAAATATTTATAGGAAAATAAAATAAAAATTATAAAATAAACAATTAACTCTAGTTATATAATTCTTTTTTTATTTTTATATTATTATTATAATATTTTATATTATTATGAATTATCTAAGTAATGTAGATTTGTTTCTATTTAAATACTATAAATATTTATTATTATAGACTATTTACTATTTAGTTAATAATATATATATATATATATATATATATATATATATATATATATATATATATATATATATATATATATATATATATATATATATATATATATATATATATATATAAAGAAAAATTAATAAAAAAGGCAGCTCACGAGCTGGCTCGTGAGCTGTCGAACAACAAAATTTGGGCTCAAGCTCAAAAAGTCCGAGCTCGAGTTCGAGCCTTTGTCGAGCCGGCTCGGCTCGTTTACCACCCTTAGTTTTAAGTGTGCAAAGTGCTATTAAATCTTTTTAAAAGTGCAAAGTGCCAAAATATCACATTTCAAGTGTGTAAAGTGGGATTAAACCGATTTTAGTTTGTCAGATTATATTTTATTACTATGTTGTATTTTTTATGTACATACATATATATTTGAATGAAAAACGAATAAAAAAAAATTGAGAAGTAGAAATAAAGATAAACAAAACAAAAAACAAAAGGAAATAAAACCATTGGAGTATCTCTGTATTTAAGATAATAGCACAGACCTTCCGGTGTTGTTTTTAATTGTCGAAAAACCCCTTGATTAAAAAAAAATTAGTAAGAAGCTCCCCATGTTGTGTTTTTTATAGCACACCGGTTCTTATTTCGAATTTATTGTTGACTTGTGTGAAATGACCAAATTACCCTTATAACATAAATATAAGAAAAAAAACAAAACGAAAACCAAAAAGAATACCAAAGGGTATTTTTGACTTTTGAAGTCTGAAAATACAATTCTATTCTCACAATCCGCACATGCATCACACGAAAAACTATTAGGGTTTTTTTTTTGCTTTGACTATTTTTCACATGGATGTTCTTGCTAAATTTTTTTACACGATTTTTTTGCAAATAGAGATTATAGTTTTTGTAAAAAAAAAAAAAAAAAAAAAAAAAAAAGGAAAACCCTATATTTAATAACCATCTGATTTTAAGTACAAGGTGGGAGTTGTTTCTACGTCTAAACTCTAATCAATAATAAGAAGGGTGCAAATTTAGATCGGATCGCCTGTTTTAATAGGAAAATCGGATCCATATAATGATTGACACGTGAATAGTTTAAATAAAAATATAATTAAGATTCTAATAATTGAAAAAAAAAAGAAAAAAAAAAGAAAAAGAAAAAAAAAAAGAAAAAAGAAAACCCAGCCTAACCCGTAACTCGTGTAACCCTAATTGTAATAGCGTAACTCCTGTAACCCTAATTGTAATAGCGTGATTTATTAAGAGTTATGATTAAGAGTGCCACATGTCAAAAAATTAGTGGAATTCGATTTATATTAAATATCGGCTGATTCACTCAAAATTTAATCCTTATACAAGGGAATTTAGGATGCCTCAATTTTACATTCTCAAAAAAAAAAAAAAAAAAAAAAGAGCTTAGGGTTTCTTCGAGCTTAAATATTTGTTTCAACAGTTTCTGCCATGGGTAAGGCAGAAAGTAGAGATAGTTCAAATTCAATGGATATATTATCCGAATTGCCTAAAGAAATCTTGCACAAAATACTTTATTTCATGTCTCAGAAAGAAGCTGTCAGAACATCTGTATTGTCGAAATCATGGCGTAATATCTGGTGCACTCGTCCCAATCTCGATTTTTCAGACGCCACATTCAAAGGTAACAAACAAGATTTTCTATCCCTTGTGACCAGGTGTTTACAGCGGTACTATGATCAAAGGTTGTGCGTAGATGAGTTTCACCTTCGTCTGACGTTGGTCGATTATCTGGATTACGAATCATTGGTTTCGCTTCTCGAAAAATGGATCCCCTTACTCACAAATATGGGTCTTAAGAAGTTTTGTCTTTCCCTTAATTCGGAACTTTATTCGACTTATCTTAGACTGCCCTCCGTAGTCTTTGGAGCCGAATCGCTCCAAGATTTGCATTTGGAAAATTTCGTGTTGGACCAAAAGACTATTGAAAGGATAGTACTTCTCAAGAATCTACGATCACTTCGTCTCAGACGAGATTGGATCGAGGACGAGATTTTTCAGAAGATAATCGGTAGCTGCCCTCTGATAGAAACTTTGGATATCGAAAGATGTGCTAGGTTAAGAACAATAACGGTGAGTGATCTTCACCATCTCAAGTATTTTTCTTCTTCGGATATGTATGATTCCATCGGCGAACTTTGTCCAATCGAAATCCATCCCCCATCTCTTGAAACCATCAGAATTCGTTTCGGCAATCTTAGGCTCCACAAAGGAGCGGATTTTCGGAATCTAAATGAATTATATTTGCTCGGCGCGAATCTGTCGTGGGACCACATGTCTTCGTGTAAATTCCCAAGTCTCAAACGCTTGCGCATCGACACCTGTGATGAACTCAAAGAAACCGAGCTATTTATCGACGCACCAAACATACTCGATTTCGAATACGACGGAGACTTTGTACCATCCATCTCTTTCGCGACCACGTTGAATAAGTGGTGTTCAGATATAAACGTAGCATACATGCGTCTGAACGGTGCTCCCTCTTTGTGGTTCCTCAAGCTAAACGAACAGCTCACGTCGTTAATCCAATCTGAAATTTCTCTGACTATCGATCTGTTTCACATGAACGATATCGAGGAAGTTATTAGAGAAAACATTAATCTGGTACGATACATTAGTGGCGGCGGTGGTGGTAATAAACACGCCGCTGTCGCGGTGGAGACACTGAGTTTGCATTGCAATAGCTTGATGAACTTGTCGCTTCTTCATTTATCTCATATGTCATCTATTTTAAGCAGTGTGTTTTCTGTCTGTCGTCCGAGAAACATCAATGTCGATTTTTGCATCGGCAGCAAAGAGGACAGGGACCGGATCGAGTGTCTGTGGAAGATTCTAAGGGAGAGAGAAAGTGGCCGAGACGAAGATGATCGATTCATACAGTTGTGGTCGCAAGATTTGGAGGAAGTGAGCTTTGAAATTAAGAGGTGGTATCCAGTAGAAGAATGGCGTCTAATACCTCTGTCGGATTTCTCAAACTATCGAGGAAAGGGATACGATCGTATTCGCTTTGCATTACAATGGAGAGGATTACCGTAAGTGATCGAGAGATCCTTCGAAGAATTATAGATATATATCGCATTTTACGGGATTTCTCTTTTTTTTCTTTCTTTTTGTACTTCAATCCAGAAGTTTGGAGTGATACATAGTTCATGGATTGATGACAATAGATCAAGAAACATTCATTTTTCAATTTTATTTTTTTCTGAATAAATAATCAATAAAAGAAACAGTTATCGTATATCCACAAGGTAATGTCTAATGCCTTTGGTTACATGCTGGTATCGAACAGGGTAAGATAACCAGTGGCAGCGCCCCGAATTTTTTTTTTCGCTGTATGAGGGCAGCGCCCCGAAAAAAAATTAAGATTTTTTTGTGACAAAATCAGAAAATAGTAACATAGAAAGAAGAAAAGAAAAAACAATTAGAGCTTTTGAGCTTTTTTGCATTAATTTGAATTTTGGTAATAAATAGGGCTTTTTTTGCATTAATTTGAATTTTAGGTAGCCTAATTAATAAAAACTAGGGGGCTTAATAGATATATAGATATAATATCGGGAAAAATTGCAAATTAAGGGTGGGCTTGAGTTGAGTCCATCCTCCCAAAGCGGTGGACTCGCCCCTGAAGCTAACCCGTAATCATTTCTAACCACCGAAGCTAACCCGTAATTATTTCTAATATAATTCGACCTAACCACCGATAAAAAAACTGGCATGCGTGTATTTTTTATTTTTGTTGTCTTTGTTCTTTTTATTCAAAGGCAATTGAAACATTTAGTGGTTCATGATAGATGTAATTCCGATAGCAAGAAGGGTTGTTTCGTAATTTCACCTAACCTCATGATTATGTTCGTAATTAATAAGAAAATCTATCATTCCCATTTTCTGGGGAGTATGGCGGTGACTACGAAGCTCGACAAATGCTTTCTTGAAGAACATGGAGCTCTGTTTTCGAAATCTGAAGCCGAAGAACATGAGACTTTTTATTATGATATCGTATTTTGCATTTGCCCAATTCGCGGCGATGGATGTAGTTACGGAAGGAGTGGGAGAAATAGAAAGCAAGAAAGAAAAAAATGAAAGAAATTATGTCTTTCGCTTAATACAAATTGACAAGTTTTGGTTGGAAGATATGTAATTTTCGCATACATTTGTTAAATGCTGAGATAAAATTGTGCTTAAGCACTTAGCTAAATTAAATGGATTCATTAATCCTATTTAACAAATTACACATGCACTAGACGATGGCGTGTCCAGAAATTTGTTACATCGTCGGCTTAACATTTTGAAGGTTGAAGGGCAGTGTTCCAAGGGGAAAACAAAATAGTGAAGAATTAAAATGTATTACAGTGTGAGCTTAATTTTTTGGGGTTGAAGCAGTGCCCAGAAAAAAAAATTAGGAGTTTTTTTTGTATATAAAAGTAATTAACGTTAGGTCAACTTAAAAAACCTTATGGCATATTCATAATTATTTAAATTATTCTTTTATTTTTTTATCTCATATGTTTCATCTTCAAAATCAGGTTTGCAAGTTCCCAAGCGAAATCGTAATCCACTTGGATATTTTTGTTATCTCTATTTTTTAAGGGTTTTTACGTATAAGATTGTTTATACTATGCTACACAGAATGAAATACATTGGGTAAATCTTTATCATTCATAAGCACACAAACACACACATATCCACATTGGTGTGTGTAGATCAATGATAAAAACTCACCGCGTGTAACCTTCACTGTGCGTAGCATCGAAATAACCGCATAGATCTTTGATCAACCATCTTTATTATTCCAGGTTTAGGGGCTATATCTCTTTCGTCAATAAGCACCGTTCTTTAATATATATTATAAATAAATGCAAAGTTAAAGCATATAACAAAATTACCCCCAATCATTTAAGCTCAATTCCTAATTGTAACCCCAATTTAACCTCATATTCATCAATTTTCACCACAAAAATCCAATTTTTACTTTTTCATTATTTTTAACAAAAAATTGCCCCCGGTTTCCGCCTTTGAATTTTTTTTTTTTGTCAGCCTTTTCCACCGCCGATCTCCAGCATTGAATTTTTTTTTCTTAAAATTTTTATCCGTTTTCTTTTAACATTGGCCGTAATTGTACTGTCATTGACAATAATTGTATTGTCGCTAACTGTACAATTACTGTAAACACAATAATATTAATGTCAACCACATCAATATTATTATTTATTTGCTTTTTCATTTTGTTTGATTTGATAAGGATCAACGTAATAATATTATTATCCTTACGGTAACATTATTGTAATCACAATAATATTATTCTTAACCACATCAATATTTATTTTTTTCGGCATTTTTATTTTGTTTGATTTGTTGACCGATTAACGTAATAATATTACTTTAAACATAATAATATTACTGTGGTTGACGGTAATATTATTGTCGTTACTAGAATGTTACAGTGGTTGACAGTTTTATTACGGTCAGCCACATCAATATTAATTCTTTTGAATTTTTATTATGTTTGCCTTTATTGAAAGGTGAAAATATCAATATTACTCTAATACACAATATATAGTGATTTCTGTTGTGTTAATATTACTGTGCTAAACGGGCCAAAAAATATGATTGTCAACACAAGAATATTACTGTTTAAACGGGCCAAAAAATGTTGAAGGAAAAAAAAAAACAGTCAACGTCGCGGGAGACCAGGGTTAACCACCGGTCAACGACGGCAGAAAAAAGGACAAACTGGAAAGAGAAAAAAAAATAACAAAGTCAACGCCAGAGACAGTCGGAACAAAAAAACAAAAAAAAAATCAACAGCATTGACGGGCGAAATTGTAGTCAAAATTGAATAATTGGTGCAATTTGATGTCAAATTGAGGTTAAATCGAATTAAATGATGAAATTGGAGCGTATTAAAAATGTAAAGGAGTATTTTAGTCTTTTACACTCCTTTGGACATTGTTTTGATTTTTTTATAAAAGAGTTTTTTGTCCGAACCCCTTTATTTGTAATAGACCATTTTTTTTAATAATATATTTCTTATTGCAATTAATCATATTATCATGTATTTAAATAATTCATTTTTTTTTTATTTTAAAATCTTATTTCGTGCATCGCACAGAGGAAAATTCTATTAAATTTTAGGGTAGAAATTATAGCGACTCCCTGATGTATGGCCAAATTACAAAAAAATCCCTCTAGTTTAGGTAATTATAACCACTCCTTAACTATAAATCTTCTGACACGTTCACCCTTATTGTATCAAATTGAACATAATCTTCTACATTACGTGGAATGTTCTCTAGTTTGCTCTCGTTTTGTGCAAAAACTCAGTTTCTGATGCACTTCAATCTGATAAGTACAAGCCAAGAGACATGTCTTATGATCATCTTGTTTCAATATGTGGAGTTCGAATAGGGTAAAACGGATAAAAATTTGAGAAAATTCCACATAATCTAGAAGTGGAAATTCAAATGAAGTCAATGCATAAACAAATGCAAATAAAAGCCGAAAAAGTGAATCGATTGGAAAAGCAATTGCAGAAAACCCGAGAAACAATGGAAGAACAAATGCAGATTAAAGACGAAAAAGTGTATCGATTGCAAGAGCAATTGCAGGAAACCCGAGATATTGTGAACACCTTGCTCGAGCGATTTAGACAACAAGAATTACAATCCTCAACGTCGAGTCGTCCTAATGATAGTGGAGTATAAAAAACGGATGAAATTAGTGTGTCTTTTGAACTAAAGTTTGTGACAACATACTACATTTATGCTTTCAAGTTTTTATGTACTTTTTGAATTGATGCTTGTCTGCTACCTTGATATTTAATCCGTAATCGTGGGTTTAATATTTTTTATTTAATAGTGTTTAGATTTTTTTTGTTGTAAAACAGCTGATAGTAGCGGCTTTAATTTTTTAATTGAAAATAATTAAACAAATAAAAGTAATATTGAAAAACAATCGCACTAATGAAAAATCGTCGCAAAGTAAATATAAAACTAAAACATTTGCGACGAATCATATCTGAGAAATCATTGCCAAAATGATTCTCGTCATGCAACGAAAATACTATTTAGTAGCCAAAATATTCAGAGAACGTGCGACGGAAAAGTTTCGAATGTCGCTAAGTTTCGCGACGAAATATATTTTCGTAGCGATTGTTTGCGAATTTATTTACATTCGTCGCATAGAGCTTGCGACGAAATAGTTGCATCCGTCGCGATTAATAAAAAAACATTTCTTTTTTTAGAATTATGGAGTTGGCGACGATTTATGTGATTCGTCGCCAAATTTGGCATCGCATGTTTTTTCGTTACTAGCTTTGTGACGGGGCATTTGGCGACAATTTTAGCTTAATTTTGCGACGAAAATTATGAGTCGCAAGACATACAAAAGCGCCGCGAGAAGATAGTTTTCGTCGCCAGTGATCCCACTAAATTTGACACCGCGAGGGTGGACGTGGGGAGAATTACACTTTTGGTCCCTCATGTTTGGCCCAATTCCACTTTTGGTCCCCGTTGTTCCAAAGTGAACAAAGTTTACCTCCAAGGTTCAATTTTAAACACTTTTTGTCCTCGCCGTTACATGTCCGTTTACAAGTAACGGAAAACACTATTTTGGGCCCAAATTTGAAATTAAATTTTTTTGGGCCGGAAAATAGTTTGAAATTCGAAATATTTACAATTATTTTTTTAATAATATTAAGTATAAATGAAATTTTTTTAGTTAATTTCTTTGTTTATTATTAAAATTTTAATTATAAGTAGTATAATTAAAAACAATATTAAGCATAATTAAATATAACTTGTTTAGTATATTTCTTTTTTATTATTGAAAATTTAATTATTAGTGTAATTATAATAAATTAAGTATAATGAAAAATAATTTGTTTAGTTAATTTCTTAGTTTATTATTAATAAATTAATTATAAGTAGTATAATTAAAAATAATTACTTTAATTAAACTTTTTTTATTATTAAAAAATTGATTATAAGTAGTATAATTATAATAATATTAAGTATACTAAGAAAATTGTTTAGTTAATTTTTTTAATTATTATTAAATATTTAATTATAAGTAGTATATTTTAAATCTCTAATTATTTTTCAGCCCCAAAAAAATTTAAAATTTCAATTTTGGCCCCAAAGTAGTGTTTTCCGTTACTTGCTAACGAGCATGTAACGGCGGGGACCAAACGTGTTTAAAATTGAACCTTAAGGTGAACTTTGTTCACTTTGGAACAACACGGACCAAAAGTGCAATCGGGCCAAACGTGAGAGACCAAAAATGTAATTCTCCTAGTGGACGTGTAAGAAGATTCATAATTTGAGGGACTGGTTGTAATTACCCAAACATAAAAAGTTTTTTCGTAACTTGACATTACCTCATGGGTTGGCCATAATTCCCTCTAAATTTTAATTGAGGTGGGCTTCAGCCCATCCTAGTCATACCCTCTCATCGCCATTGGCAATAGTAGATGGGGGAGTTAGATGTTACACCTAGTTATTTATACCGAATAGATTGAACCATAAATTTAATTAAATAATTACTCATTAAACACACATGATACATAGGTGGTGTTTGCAAATGCTTTTTGAAAGTGATTATGCGGTTTTTTTTCCTCATAATCTGTTTTTAGGTGTTTGCAAGATCAACTTTTGTTTTGGCTTCTCTTAAAATAATCTGCTTTAAGCTATTTTTTTAAAAGTACCCATAACCCTGCTTTTTCAATTTTAGTTTATTTTCCAAAATATTTGCAAACACCCCCAACTTTTAGAAATAAGCACTTAAAACTAACTTAAATCACAATTACTAACTTCTGCTTTTAAATAATCATTTGCAAACACCACCATAGATGTGTATGTGATTATGTGTAGATCTACAGCAGTTCAAATCCATCAAATATAAATAATCAGGTGTAGCATCTAATTTCTCCTACTAGGTGTAGAGTCTACAAGAATGCATTAAGTAATATATAGAAGTATAGAACATGATAGCACTGAAATTATTATCTGATAACAAGATGAGCTATGATATTTTGTCAAATTTTATATTTTAATACTACCTTGTATTATATATATATATATATATATATATATATATATATGTGTGTGTTTGAATGAAAAAATAATTAAAAAGGATTGAGTAGTAGAAATAAGGGTAAATTACAAAGACCCCCTAAGGTATGGTCAAATTAAAAAAACACCCCTCTTGTTTGGATAATTACAACCAACCCCTCAACTCCTCAAATTTAGTGGAATCTTCGACATTATATGGAAAATTATCACTTTTGTACCCGTTTTATCCCATTCAAACTCTACATTATGAAGCAAGATGATCATAATATGTGATTTTTAGCTTGTATATATCAGTTTGTGGTGCATCGGAAACTGTATTTTTACACAAAACGAGTACAAACTAGAGCACATTTCACGGAATCTAGATGATTCTGTTGAATTTGGCACCATAAGGGTGGAGGTGTAAGAAAAAATCATAGTTGAGGGGGGTAGATGTAATTATCCAAACAAGAGGGGGGTTTTTGTAATTTGACCATACCTCAGGGGGGTGTTTGTAATTTACCCTAGAAATAAAGATAAACAAAAAAAAAACGAAAGGGAATAAAACTATTGAAGTATCTGTATTTAAAAACCATCTGATTTTAATTAGGAGTTATTTCTACGTCTAACTCTAAGCAATAAATAATAAGAATCCTAAAACAAGGAAATTTAGGGTGCCTCAATTTTAAATTCTCTACAAAAAAAAAAAGAGCTTAGGGTTTCTTCGAGCTTAAATTTTTCTCAACAGTTTCTGCTATGGGTAACGCAGAAAGTAGAGACGATTCAAACTCCATGGACAGGATATCCGAATTGCCTAAAGACATATTGCACAGAATACTTTATTTCCTGTCTCAAAAAGATGCTGTCCGAACATCTGTATTGTCGAAATCATGGCGTAATATTTGGTGCACTCGTCCCAATCTTGATTTTTCGGACGCCACATTCAAAGGTAACAACAAACAAGATTTTCTATCCCTCGTGACCAGGAATTTACAGCGGTACTGTGATCAAAGGATGTGCGTAGAGGAATTTCACCTTCGTATATCGTTACGCGATCATTTGGATCACGAATCATCGGTTATGCTTCTCGAAAGATGGATCCCGTTACTCATAAATATGGGTCTGAAGAAGTTTTGTCTTTCCCTTCATTCGGAACTTTATTCGACGCGTCTTAGACTGCCCTCCGTAGTCTTTGTAGCCGAATCGCTCCAAGATTTGCATTTGGAAAATTTCGTGTTGGACCGAAAGACTATTGAAAGGATAGTACTTCTGAAGAATCTACGATCACTTTGTCTCAGAGAAGATTGGATCGAGGACGAGATTTTTCAGAAGATAATTGATAGCTGCCCTTTGATCGAAACTTTGGATGTCGAAGGATGTTTGAGGTTAAGAACAATTACGTTGAATAATCTTCACCATCTCAAGTGTATTTCCTTTTCAGAGATGTATGATTTCACCGGGGAACTTTGCCGAATCAAAATCCATCCCCCATCTCTTGAAACCATCAAAATTAGTTTTGGCAATCTTATGTTCCACAAAGGAGCGGATTTTCGTAATCTAAATGAATTATATATTTTCGATGCAAAACTGTCATGGGACCACTTGTCTTCGTGTAAATTCCCATGTCTCAAACACTTGTGCATCGACAGCTGTGATGGACTCAAAGAAACCCAACTATTTATCGACGCACCAAACATACTCGATTTCAAATACGAAGGAGACTTTGTACCATCCATCTCTTTCGCAACCACATTGAATAAGTGGGATTCAGAAATAAACCTAACACATCTGCATCCGAACGATGCTCCCTCTCCGTGGTTCCTCAAGCTAAATGAACTGCTCAAGTCGTTAATCCAATCTGAAATTGCTCTTTCTATCAACCGGTTTCACATGAATGATATTCACGAAGTAATTCGAGAAAATATTAGTAGTGGTGATAATAAACCTGAGGTAGAGACACTGAGCTTGCGTTGTGATAGCTTGATGAAATCGTCGCCTTGTCATTTATCTCATATGCCATCTCTTTTAAACAATGTGTTTTCTATTTGTCGTCCAAGAAACATCAATGACTATTTTCGGATTAGCGACAACGAGGGCATGGAAAGGATCGAGTGTCTGTGGAAGATTCTAGTGGAGGGAGAAAGTGGCCGAGACGAAGATGATCAATTCAGACAGTTGTGGTCGCAAGATTTGGAGGAAGTGAGCTTTGAAATTAAGGAGTGGTATCTCAAAGAAGAATGGCGTCCAATAACTCTGTCGGATTTGTCGAACTATCAAGAAAAGGAATACGGCCGTGTTCGCTTTGCATTAAAATGGAGAGGATTACAGTAAGTGAGAGATCCTTCGAAGAAACCAAGAATTAGCTTGTGAGTCGATTTAGAATTATAGATAAATCATTTTTACATTGCATAGTCTTTTTTTCTTTTTCTTTAGCAAATTATCTATTTTATTTAGAAATAACATAGGGATCAAACAATTAGTTTTAATATTACGATATTTTGCTCGTTTTAATACTTTCAAGCATAGTTTGATACTTGATAAATTTCTTCAAAAAAAAATTGAATATCAAGTTTGAGGTGTAAATGTAGTTTTAAAATAAAATAAAACTAGCAAACCGATTAACACAGAACAATAGAATCACTTTTGTATATCGAAAAAGGATCTTTAGCTGCAAACTTCCATCAACAGCTACAAATTTCAACAAAAACATAACCGTAACCCCACAAAACCGGTAGGAAACCGAAGCAGTGGGGGAAGAAATAGAAAGTGTTGGGGTTTTTAATAAAAATAATATATTTTATTATAAAAATATAATAATGACTTTGACCACTTTTACGAGGGTCATTAGACCGGAAACCTTCAAAGTCATTATTCTCCCACATAAAACACCATAATTATATATTAAATTGAGGTTTTATGGGGGTCATATTATATACTATATAAATGGGGCATTGTGGCTTGTAAAAAGAAGGGAGTGTGAAGAGAAAAAGAAACACCTTTTATCTATACTACTTTGAGCTCTTGTTGTGTGTCGGGTGTAAGCTTCTACTTCACTCGAACGTGCAATTTCGGTGAAGTTACAGCGGAGAGATAGGCTGGGCTGTTGTATCCCATAGGCGACACGATCGGAACCTTTTTGCACCTCATTAGAGAAGGGGTCGTGAAATTCGTCTTAAGAGAGCGACCTAGTCCGCGCCTCACCTTGCCTATCTCCATATTATCGTGGTTTTTATTGCAGCAACTTGTTATATATAAAATTGGAGAACAAATGGAGTACAAGCCTCAATCCACAAGTTTCGTGATCAATCGTCAAATAACAGCCGTGGTTCCAACAATTTAAGACGAAATTTTTGATTCCATAAAGATGAGCTTTGACGATGATCCAAAATAGGCTCTTAATGATAAAAAGGGAGATGATAAATTATATTTTATTGTTATTTTGATTTGACGAAAAATTAACGATCTTATTTCTTGGTATAGGGGAATTTTCGTACAATTCACGAGTGCAGACTTTGAGTCAAATTTCGGACCTGCTAATATCCGAATTTGAGAATGTGTAAAACACGAAAGCTGTAGGCATTTTTGTTGGCTGTCCGAAACATCTTGAATCGCTGAAATCGGACATCGAACGAGAGAGATATGCTCCAAACACTGAGCACTGCTGCAGCTGCAAAATTGTGCGCGTTTTTAAGGTATCAAAAGAATTCGTAATGGAAAATTATTGAATCTGGTATGTTCTTCGTTTCCACATTACTTTACATAATTTTGCACTAGTACTTATAATATTGCATATGGTAATGATTTGAGATGTGGAAATTGAAATAATATAGTAATCTATTTTTGTTCATAAAAACTGATACACACGTATTATGATTATATAAATTATTGATATTACATATAATCTCTATGGATCATCATACTTTGATTAATTATCATCGCAATATGATAATTAGAATTTGTAGCAACAGCACTATTGTTTTAGAGTTTAATTAGAATTCATGTCAGAGGTTATAAATGTTTATGCTGCTTAATTGCGTAATTAATATTTATTAACCACTTATTCATATGTGAGAGTTATCATTGTTGCTCGTATGTGCTAAGCGGCTAGCATTCTTAGTCAACGAACTAATCTATTTGTCCAAGTCCATTGATGAGAAAGCTGGAGCTTTTTTAATTTAATTTTTTGAATAATGAGAATATTGTTTTCTCTAATATTCTCGGTCTAAAGAGATCATATGCCAATTAACTATTTCACAAGTCGACATCAGTTATAAAATTGATTTTTTACTATTTTAAATGTCTTTTTATTGGTTCATGAGTTTTTTTTTATAAACAATATTTTGATTTAAAAAACGTAGGACTTAATTGCAATTTTTATAATTTCACAATTGAGTAAATTTTATGCACAATATTATATTAATTGCAAAAATAACCCACTTACAAGAATCACCCATATTATTAATGAAATAATTTCACATTTTTTGTTTCAAATTTTATCTCTCCTACATGTCAAAATAGTGTATTTTTATTGGTTAATGAGTTTCTTTTTTTATAAACAATAAATATATCTATCTAATATATAAATTGAAACCCTCATAGCTCAAGAAATCGACATGTGACATATCTATGTGACATCCACCTCATATCTCATGTGGCATTTTTTGTTCCATTATAATCACAATATTAATATACACACATTAATTAATTATTTAATGCAATTACCGATAATAGATGCATATTAATTAAAACTTACCAACTTAATATAAGATATTATTATTTTGTGTATTAATTTGATTTATATCTTTTCCATATTTCATAATATCTTATACAAGAGTGTCAATTAATATCAATTACAATATATATAATTTCTATAATTATAGAAACGATGGTTAATTTATTTCTAGATATCATTAG